TTGGCTGAGTTCTTTATCTCTTCATTTGACGCTTAGGGTTCCAGGATTGGCATTTGACTCTGTTTTACTTAGTTTTTTGGGTCTTTGCTGTGGAGGCAAGGTGTGGTGCTTCTGTCTATGGTGCCATGTTGACTCCACCTTCCTCCTTAATTATTATTATTATCATTATTTTTTGATAGCATGTGTTTTCAGTATTGGAACGCATGCTTACTAATTGAGTGTGTTTAAATTTTTGGTTGGTAATATGAATTTTGAGAAATATGGTCTGATAATAGAAGCCACCAATGAGGTGAGTGACACTGGTGCAACTGGTCTGTGATATGACAGTATACCAGTAAGAGCTAGATAAGTAATTTATTGTGGGCACCTTTCCATTAGGTTACATGGGAGAACCTCTGGTTTTCCAAATATGACACAGAAAAGCCAAAACAAACCCTTCAGGGCTCCATAACTATCACACAGGAAAGCCATAATTATGCTTGCAAGCTTTATCTCACAGAAATAAAGGAAATAAAGAAAAAGAAGGCAAAAGTTTAGAAAACAAGCACATCTAGGAAGCATCACCTAATAGAATGCTCAACCTACACAACAATGAGGCTCCAGCTCAGGTCTGCTGAGCTTCACACATTTCAGAAGGGACTCACCTCGATGCTAAATGTGTTAGAACCAGAATAACGCCTTATATCTGTGGTCTAGAGGCATTAAAAAGTGGCTGGCATACATTTATGCCAATGTAACGGAAGCGTTTAAATGGCTTTATCTGTCATCGTAAGTCTAGAGTTTTTCTGTCTCTGAGTCGGAATCGACTTGACAGCAACGGGTTTGGTTTTTGTACGGGTATCTGTCTCTGCTTCTCTCTTCTTTCATCTCTTTCTCTCTGTCTCCATGACAATAGACCGTTTACATTCCTAAGAGTTCAAGAGTTACTTAAGAATCCATGAACTCTTAACAACCACAGTGGAATATATATATATATATATATATATATATATATTTCTGTAAAATGCACGTGGAAGAAAGAATAGAGGGAGAACAAACATTAAAAAACAAAAGCCTAAACAAACAAAACAAAACAAACAAGCAGAAACAAGGCCAAGGTCCCTCTGAGGTCTTTAGCCTGGAGCTTTTCTTCTGCGTCCCATCTATTATTTGTTTTTTTGTCAGTTCTTCCATCCAGTGGCCTCTCAGATCATCTGCTTCCCTCAATTCCTCATTCCCACCTCCAGTTCAAGTCATCATTTCTTCATGTTATTTACTACAATAAACTGCTCATTGGTCTCCCTGAGTTTGTTTTTTCTGTTTCATTTTTTCTGTTCTGTTACAGATTAGTTTCCCTAGAAATCTGCTTTTGTCTTGATACTCTCCTTCAAGTGCAGAATGTAGGGTGGCTCCATTTTGCATATGAGCTCATATTCAGAGTCTCCCTTCAGGCACTCCAGGTCTTCCATCCAGGGGACTTATGGTCACCTCAGCAACCCTGCTTGCCACCCCTGTTGTTGTTAGGTTCTGTCGAGTCACCTCTGACTCATAGCAACCCCTATGTATAACAAAATGAAACACTGCCCAGTCCTGCGCCATCCTCACAGTCTTTTCTATGCTTGAGCCCATCATTGTAGCCACTGTGTCAATCCATCTCATTGAGGGCCTTCCTCTTTTTTGCTGACCCTCTACTTTACCAAGCCCCTAGAACCCACCTTCTAGACCTGTGCTGCCCAAAGCGTAGCCACTAGCCACATGAGGGAATTGAATCCTTGAGATTTGGTCAGTGGGACTGAGGAACTGAATTTTTATTAGTTGATATTTAAATTTAAAAACCGAAGCAGTTTTGTCAATGTAGGTGTGAGCCTTGAAAGAAAATGATTTTTTGGTACAGTATTTGATTCAGTTGCTGGAAAACTTTTAGGTATGTTTGAACAACTTGGGTATGTGAATTCACTTTTTCAATTGTAAATTTTACTATATCTAAATACAGATCATTTAGATATGACACTTTAACATCCAAATTGAGATATACTATAAGTGTGAAATGCACATTAGATTTCAGACTTACATTTCATTAATAAATTTTTATATTGATTGTGTATTGAAATAGTAACATTTCCAAGGATTGGTTGGTAATTTGAACTGCTGACCTTTTTGGTTAGCACCTACAGCTCTTAACCACTGTGCCACCAGGGCTCCAACATTCTGGATATAGTGAGATAAATAAAATATATTATTAAAATCCATTTCATCTGTTGCTTTTTACTTTTTTAATGGGACTACTAGAAAATTTTAAATTATATATGTGGCTTGCATTATATTTCTATCAGATAGTGCTGTTTAAGAGCAATTGGGCCATCTTCCTTATTCTCTGGTCTCTGCAACTTAGATTTTCTAGGGCTGGCTAGATTTTTAATATTTCCTGCCCCCCTCAATCTTCATAAATAACTCATACTTGTTAGATAACCCGTTCAAATGAATGGTTTAAAAAATGTGATCCAGGTTTCCACATCCTCCTCATGTTTTCTAATGTTGTTCTTCACATCTGGGGTAGCCTTGTTTCCTTTTCCAAAGTGTGCATAGCCTTCTGGGTCCAACTCAGGTGACCTGCCCCCACCCAACCCCTGAACCTTCCTTGACCACCTACTATGAGTTGGTTTCCCTGTCTCTCAATTCCTAGAGCACCTGGAGTTAGTTTCCACACACTAACTCATCACCATATTCTATACGGCTTTGCTCTGCCCTGACTTCTTACATGTAAATCTTACCTTCCCTTCTAGAAATTTAAGTCACTTGAGTCAAGCACCATGCTTTCTCCCTTCTTTGAAACACCCACCACATCTAAATGGTTTTGTTTTGTTTTTGAGCAACACAAAGTCTCAGTAGAGACTGGTTGATTAGTAACTCAGTGAGGAAAAATTCCAAGGAGTTGACATGTGTCCCTACTGAATTGCCAAATACTAAATTTGGCAATTTTAATACATTAAAATAATATATTTATATTTGTGAAGATGTACAGTAGTGGACAACACAATTGTCATGGATTCAGGAACTAAGGTTTTAGATTCAACTCTGCCTTTCTGGGTGGCTGACCTTGGGCAAGTGCACTTCACCTTTCTGGGACTGCTTTTCTTCACCTAGAAAATGGAGGTAGATTACGTAATCTCTAATGTACATTGCAAATCACATATTTTAGAAGTCTGTGATGGAAATCTTACTCAAGTGCCTTATACACGACTCTGAATTTTTTAAAATAGAACATGCTGAACAGCAATTAGCATTTTTAAAATGTCACAGTCATTATTAAGGACGTCAGTTATGATGCACTGACAATGTAGTGCAGCTAAGGGGTTATTGCAGTGTGCGTGCCTGCTTACTCTCCAGAGTGTGTGGCTGGTATTTTTTAATTAATGGATGCCCTTTAATTTCCTCTTTTAATGTCAGACTGTCACCTGTCACTTCTTACTGCTGTCACCAGTCCTGTCTATACGAATAGCTCCCTTTTCCCCATCCCACCTGATTCGATACTTTTAACTCTGGTGGTATGGGGAAACCCAGTAAGGACAAGCTTGTTTGAGTCATGTCTGGAATTGGTCATTTAGTCCTTCATGAACCATTTATTGGGTGCCTGTTCCTGTATGCGAGGCACAAGATGGTACAGGGCAGGGGCTGAGGAAGAAATCATTTAGAAACCATCTTAATAATCTTGGGGGCTTTACAATGGGAAAGACACCTGAACTCTAGTGCGGACTTCTTCAGCCTTTTTTCTTCACTTCTCAGTTTTCAGCCCCTTTCCAGGTGGTCAACCTTCCCAGACAAGTTACCTATGGATATTGGAGGTCTTAATAATAATAATAATAGTTAATTAACACGGTGAGGAACTTCACCGGAATGTGCAAAGAGACAAGTAGAACAGGACAGAAAGTCCAGAAATAGACTCCAAGTATATATAGGAACTGAGGGTACAAAAGAAGTAGTTTCTCAAAACTGAGACAAAAGGATGGGTTACTTAGTGTCTCATGTAATTCCTGCTTCAAGCTTGTGAGTCAGGTAACATTAATATTCCGATTTTATAGATAAGGTAAAGAGAGATTTAGAAACTTTCCCAAGGTCACAGAGGAAATAAGTGGTAGATCTGGGAAAAAGTGTATCATCTTTGGTCTGTTTCTGTTGTTGTGTGGGCTGTCAAGTCAATTCTGACTCAGCAACTCAGTATGTCAGAGTTGAACTGCCCCATAGGGTTTCCTAGGCTGTAATCTTTCCTGAAGCAGACTGCCAGGTCTTTTTTCCCGCGGAGCCGCTGGTGGGTTCCAACTGCTGACCTTTTGGTTAGCAGCCGAGTGCTTAACCATTGTACCATCAGGGCTGCTTCGGCCTATCTGTACCCTTCCTACGTGCATTTTATCGCCAAAGGAAGCCAATAGAAAAGTAGCTCTCATTCGGGGGCAATTTTGCCCCCAGGGACATTTGGCAATGTCCAGAGGTATTTATGGTTGTCACACCTGAGGGGGGTTGCTGCTGGCCTCTAGTGGACAGAGGCCAGGGACGCTGCTAAACATCCCACAATGCACAAGACAGCCATCACTGCGAAGAATTTTCTGGCTGAAAGTGTCAACGGAGGTTGAGAAGATCTACAGTAGATAAAGCTCTTAGTCGTTCTCTAGTGATGTGGGCTAGGTTAAAATAAATAATGTTTACAAAGTTTATTTTTTCTTTTTTTGGTCACACCAAACTGAATGATGGAACAAGTGGGAGGAACAGGAAAAAGTTTCTAATGCTTCAAAATACCTGGAAACATTTTTAATTTTACCTTTTCTATAGGAATACCAGTAAAATCTAAAAATCTATCCTGTATCTGTAGTAGACATTAATAATATTTACCAAGAGACAAGTAGAACAGAACAGAAAGATTTCTAATCCTCCTTTTTTGGGGAAGATGGGCACATGCCCTATTGAAGTTAGGTTAGTCATGGATGCGTTTAAAAGCCAGCTCTCAATTCTCCGAACTTTCTTCCTAGAACACAGCAACTATGGGATCATGTGTTGATACGGAGATACCATACAATCTCAGCGGTGTGGAATGCTGTGCTAACACATGGAGAACAGTGGTCGTGCCCAGTCTCCCAGATCTGCTGAAGACTTTGTAAGAGTAAGAAATAATCTTTTGTTGTGCTAAATCACAGAGAATTTTGAGATTGTTTATTACTGTAGCATATCTTAACCTATCCTTACTAATACATCAAAGTTAATTCACACGTACGTACTCTGGAATCCTGGAACCCCAAAATTTCTGGGGCAGTGCTTCTTTTGGGAATCAGGATATATTAATATTCCACATGCATATTCATTCACACAGCTAGAGGCCAAGAGAGATGTTAGCCTGTATAAAACTCCAGTGACTCTGCGGTAAGTACTTGATGTTCTCACATATAGTTATTAGGGCTGTGTTTGAAGGAATACTTTTTAAGGCTTTAGAAATACACTTTATGTCTGAAATCATTTCTGTTGGCATTAAAATATAACCTGAATTGTGACATCCCAAGCTTGATGACTTTTACCTGCCTATTGTATAAATTCTATTATGCAAGATATGATGTGAATTTTATTTAGGTTCCTGAATTTCTAGATTAGAAATTGTGAAAATTCTAGGACAATGGTAATCAATATCTCTTCTCTTCCACACATTTTGCGAGTGCTCTCTCTCTCTCTAACTATTTTGAAATTAAAACCATGTTGTTATTTCTCTGACCCTTTGGAAACAATATACCTTTTATTGTTAGTTAAGGATTCAGAGAATAAAGACCAGTCTTTTCTTTTTAAATTATGATCCGTGCTCTTGTAACGTTACTTTATATCTGTGGTCTAATGTGATTTTTACCAATCCCTTCTATAAGTATATTAATTTTAATTTATATTTTACATGTTTGTTATTGCATTTGTTAAAGTATTTATTTATTGCTTAGTAATTCTATAACTTTATTATATGGGCTGTAACTGTAACCCAAGGGTTTGCTGCCTGGAAATCCCCAATTGTTGCAGCCTAATAGGAGTTGAGTCTCCTTTCCCCCCACCTTTTTTTAATTGTAGTGAAAATATACACAACAAAACATACATCAATTCAACAATTTCTGTATTCAGTAACATTGATTACATTCTTCAAGTTGTGCAAGCATTCTCGCTATCCTTTTTCCAAATTATTCCACTACATTAACATAAACTCACTACCCCCTAAGCAGAAGTTCCCCTTTCCCCCTCCCTCCCATCCCTGATAACCACTAATAATTTCTGGTTTATATATATTTGCTTATCTCATATATGTGAGATCATACAAGATTTGTCCTTTTGTGATCAAATAATTTCATTCAGCATAATGTTTTCAAGGTTTATCCATATTGTGGCATGTATCAGGACTTCGTTTCTCTTTATGGCTGAGTAATATTCCATTGTATGTATATACCACACTTTGTTTATCCATTCATTTGTTGATAGACATTTTGGTTGTTTCCATCTCTTGGCTATTATGAATAGTGCTGCAATGAACATTGGAGTACATGTGCCTGTTTGTATCACTGCTTTCAATTCTTTTGGGTATATACCTAAGAGTAGCATAAACCAAACCAAACCATTGCTGTCAAGTTGATTCTGAATGGAAAAGCTGAGTCATATGGTAGTTCTATGTTCAACTTTTTGAGGAATTGCTAAACTGTTTTCCAGAGTGGCTGCACCATTTTACATTCCCACCAGCAATGGCTGAGGGCTCCTGTTTCTCCACAACATGGCCAAGACCTATTGTTTTCCTTTTTTTTTTTATCATTGCCGTTCTAATGGGGGTGAGATGGTATCTCATTGTGGTTTTGATTTGCATCTCCCTTCTGGCTAATGAGAGCCCTGGTGGTTAAGCATTTGGCTGCTAACCAAAAGGTCAGCAGTTTGAATCCATCAGCTTTTCCTTGGAAACCCTATGGGACACTTCTACTCTGTCTTATAGGGTCACTAGGAGTCGGAATCAACTCGACGGCAACGGGTTTGGTTTTTGGGGTTTACTGGCTAATGACGTGGAGCATCTTTTCATGTGCTTATTGGCTATTTGAATATCCTCTTTGGTGAAATGTCTGTTCAAGTCCTTTGCCCATTTTTTTGGACTGGATTGTTTGTTCCTTTTCCTTTAATGTAAACTGCCTTGAGACATAATCCCTCAGGTGGTAGAAAATCTAAGACCATGAGGTCTGGGAAATTCTATATATCTGTCTTTCTTCAGGTCAGTCAACACTGCAGCCTGTTTCCCCATCATCCCCTGGATCCTGGTGGCTGTTGTCTCTCCACACCAGGTGCGCTGTCTCTACATCATCTCTGACTTGGCCTCAGGCCTTCGAACTGGTTCAATCTGATTTGAACCCCTGCTGAAAATTTGTATTTCCACCCCAGATATACTGAATCAGAATCTACATTTTAACAAGATCCCCAGGTGAATCTTATGTATAATAAGTTTTAAGAACCACTTCTCTACTAGTGGTTCTCAGAATTGGTCCCTAACCAGGAGCATTAGCATCGCCTGGGAACTTGTTAGAAATGCAAATTCTCAGCAGGAGTTTGAACCAGAATGAACAGGTTCAAAGCCCTGCTCAGAGCACTGCTCTGCACCAGTACAAAGTGCTGTTGTAACAGAGGATCACAAGTCAGAATAGTCAAGACAACCCATGTGAAACTGAATCATGGATATTCTAGTTTTTAAGATCTCTTGGCTATCTTCATCACTGGGCATTTCCCAGTGGACATCTTTCTTCTCATGCCACAGCATCTCATCACGATACTGGGTTCTCTTTTTCGCCTTCTCACATGTCCCCTCCTCTCCTTTCTCAGGGCCCTCACTCCTTCTTTGTTAAACTCTGTTCTCTCCTCTTATTTGAAACTTATAATTCCCCTTACTTTAGTACGTACTGCAATTCGACTTTCCCTATCTTTAACTCAGCTCTGGTCCTACCTTTTCATTTTATAAACTTCAACTGTGCATTTGTCAAACAAAGGCCGTCTACTTTGATTAGATACCCTTTAGCAACACGTGCTTTCAGATTAGCATTTTCTATAATATGATCACATTGTTAGGCACGGAATTCCCATTCTCCAATTTGTAGAATGAAGAGGAAGCAATATAAAGTATCAGGGAATTCCAGAAGGACAAGCAGGAGTAGACAGCTTTGTGGGCATATATAATGGAGAACCATATAAAGGAGGATCTCGGCAAGTATCATGTGGGCAGAGGAAAACCATTCAAAGATGTAAAGGAGCAGATGTCATGCTCAAAACTATATTTTAGAAAGATCATTCTGACCATGGCCAGAGGGCCACCATCAGAATGGAGTTGGAGAGAACAGTTATAAGACTTTCAGTCCAAAAGGAAATACAAAATGCTTGAGCTGAGGCAGTGGCAGGGGTGATGGAAAGAAATAGATTCAAGTGGTATTGAGAAGGTGGAATTGATCAGGCTTGACAGCTTGGGGCAGTGAGAGGAAGAGGTTCAGGGTGAAAGTGGCTTGAGCAGTTTAGGGAATGATGGTGCCATTCTCTAAAATAAGGGACTGTGGAAAGAGATGCCCTTTGGGGTGGGAGTGCAGGGGACCATGAATTCAGTTATGCATATTATTAGTTTGAAGTGCCAATGAGACACCCTCTAGAAAATGGGACATTTGAATATTATAATGTAGTAACTCTGAAGATGAGATTCTTCCTCTTCCTCAGGATTTGCTTTTCTTTTCTTTTTGATTGTCAAAGGCTGTTGTAATCTGTTCTTTTAGTGAGCCTTCCAAACTATCTTTGCAAAGACTATATTCTTTGACATGTGTGGTCACTGAAGTCTCTGTTCCTTTAGCTTGTGTTCAGCTAGTGTATTGACATAGATTGTTTTGAACACTAGGAGTTTAAGGATAAAAAAGACAAAAACAAACAGTAACAACAACAGGAAAAAAAAAAGTCTTCCAGTCTTTGAAAATTTGTCTGTGTTGGGGCATACCTTCAACACTTAACCAGCCTTATACTGAGCCTAGAGAGATCAGCCTGAGGTGAAAGCTTAGAGTTTTCTCAGGTCTAATGTGAGCATACATCTTACCCAGGACATGATATGGCTTTCTACATTGCTCTGTACACATGGGTGCTTTTTGAACGCCTTAATTTCCCAAAGAAACTCTCTTGCTGGTTTTGCCTCCCAGTCCTTAGGCAATCTATTATATGTCTCAATTGCACTCTTGTCTCAGGTGGTTATAAGTTAATTATTCACCTAACAGTGTTCAGGCAATGCCTGCTTCTTGTCCTCTCTGCTTAGGTTTTGAGATATGCAAAACAGAGACAAGTGCCTTGCTTCAGGCTTGAGGTAGCCACCTGACAAGTTCCAAAAAAACCGAACCTTGTTGCCATTGAGTCGATTCAGACTCCTACGACCCTACAGGACAGTGTTGAACTGCCCCATAGGGTTTCCAAGGCTGTCAACTTTACTGAAGCAGACTGCCACATTGTTCTACTGCGGAGCAGCTGGTGGGTTCAAACCGGCAACCTTTCAGTTAGCAGCCGAGCACTTAACCACTGCGCCACCAAGGCTCCTCCTAAATTAGGATAGAGAAACTTAATAATTTGAGAGTAATGTGTGCTCTGCTCCCTCTGGAGCCAGGGTCCAGAACCCCACAATGGGCATATGGGCTGTTGTCTTCAGGCTGGCCACAGGAACTGGGCAGAGGGTGGGCAAGCAGAACAGCCACACAGCTTTCCTGCCATTTTGGAACTGCCTTTTTCTTGATTCACCCTTCACTTGGTTGCTGTAAACTCTGTTTACTTGAGTACAGCAAAGTTAGTTGTGACAGTTTCTGCTTGTTTTTTGATGGGAGATGAGAGCATGGAGCTTCTTACTCTGCCATCTTGCTGACATTACTCTTCCCACTCACAGATTTAACCTACTTGGCTTTGAATGTTCTTGAGGGTCATGACATTGCTAAGGCATGAACACAAATCAAGAGGTGAAGATTGCAGTCTAGGAGTGAATCATGCAGACTTTGAGTGAGACTCACACATCCACTTTAGGGATGAGGAGAATTTAGGATGGTGGGCCCAGTGACAAATGGGAGAAGTAGTGGTGGCTAATAGGGTAAAAGGAGGAGACAGTAA